CCATATTTTCCTCTGTAACAAAAATAAACTAATTTAAACTTTAGGATGAAGTTGAAAATATACATAAATTATAAATAATTAAATGATATGACTATTGTTTTGAAGAAAGACTAGACAAATAACAACCATTTTGTTTACTTGTCTCAATCTTGTTTATGTCTGAAAAACAGCATTAAACTGGATGGTTGACTAGGGGTCAATCTAACCTCAAGTTTTATGAGTCTATGCTTCTACTTTTAAATAATAGTTTGTAAAGATTTATATATATTTTTCTTCTGTGTATCCACTTAAAATCAAAATTGAGATAGTTTGATTTTTTATTTATTTATGACCATGCAGGTCCAATTTAGCCTTGCCCAAGTCGGTATTTTTTTACTTATCTGATCTTGAATTATTACCGCCTTGTACAATCCAATACACCTGCGCTGATATTATGCAGAGTTATTCAACGGTTTCGAGATTTCCATAATACCTACGCTATCAGGGGTATCGCAAAACCTTATTGATTAACAGATATATGCGTGGACACGACGTGTGACTTCAGGCTGATTGACCAATCAAAACGTTATCAGGTTGACCTGCATAAGCAAAGCAATCTTCCCGATTTGAAATTCAATGATCTGATCGATCGTTTCTTTAGAGTTACAATATATTATGTAATTAAATGTACATAGGGAATGTGAGAATCATTAATATAAATTGAATCATGCAATAGATTTAAAACTGATTTCGCGATGAAAATGCAAGACCGAGTCCAATGTAGCGGGTCATGTAGTCGATCAGTGATTGAATCTCAGCCTACATGTTCATTTGAATTCAGCGATCGTTTCAACGTTTATTGTTGAAATCTTCTCACCTCCGGTTACCGATCGATGCTCCGGCATCCACTAAACTCTGATTGATATTTATCTGATAAAATATTTGTATTTTCATGATGAATTCATGCAAGATTTGTTCGTGAAAAGTCCCGGCGAAAAGTAAAAAGTGTACTTGTTTTTGACCGTGCATAATAATGAGCTAACGCTGCAGGGCCGTCGTTGATTGGTCAAATTTTACCGACATAAACAATGAGTCGGTAAAGCATGTGGCTTTCTCTTTGGTACAAGGCGGTCATAATAGAAATCAAGATAGTAAAAGAGACCGACTTGGGCAAGGCTAGTCCAATTATGCACATTGAAAAACCGTTAATTTGAATTTTAGACCTGATGTTTGAAAATCAAGGATTGTGAGTTTCATTCTGCACAATTTTTCTTCAAACTTGTTTCATTAAAAACAGAACAAAAAATGCCTTTCTGTTGGAACATTATTCTGTTATACAAAGTCCCTTCTTTTAGTGATGTTTGAGTCCCCAGCTGTAAGAAGCTGCCACTCATTCTTACCTTATTGTATGCACTTTAAGCGTTGGGCCCTTGTAGGACATTGCCACACTCCCAAACATCATCTCACTCAGCATTTTGACATCAGAGCTTGGACGGGGAATCTGAAATGGGATTAAATAAAATTATAATTTCAAGAAGAAATTGTATTAAACCTTGCACAGGGCCTTTAAGTATATCATTATAGGGGTGATTCTTTTTATATAAATCAATCAAAAGAATTGAGTAAATAAATAAAGATTCATTTTAAATTCGCTTATCAAATCTACCTCATCTCTGTGTTTTGCGTAGGTGCATTATGCCCCCCCCCCCTTCCATGACCCACAACTCCCCCCCACCTTGGAGCTGGCAGAAGCTCTGATATCACAGCGTAATCTGACATTATAGTACGCATGCTCTTTTGGCAAATTGTTCAAAGTGCAATATTCCACCAAATTAAATCGGGAATGTTTTTGAAAATTTGAGGACTGAATTCTTTGGTCACGCTGTAGGAGTCAAATAATGACTACTAACGATCCATTTGTTATATGTATCCCCTTCACATATGAAAATTACATAATGTTATATTATAAGCCTCACCTTCTTCTCAGAATCGGCCTCATCAATACGTTGCATGGAGACAGAATCAAACAACAGTTGTCTGCCTCGCAAGTCATGGTCTTTGAATATCACAAGTCTAATCTGATGGCGGTCAAATTCAGGACTTTTCCAACTGAAACATGGGAGGCAAATGGTTAAATACACAATTGAAAGACACATAACAAAGGGTTAATAACTACTCTAAAAGAAAGGGCAAATAGTGAATTGTATTCAAATAAATGTAGGGCAAAGGAATAATCTTTGCATTTTATCTCAGCAATCTGCTTAAACCAAAGAGAGACAGGGCATTAACATACAATGTCACCACCTGCCATTTGTTAGAAAATTTGGAGAGTATAACAATTAATGTCACAAATTATGAAAAAAATCAGAGTTCATGAATTTCAATCAAATAAAGAAATACGTCTCATTATTGACATTCTAAACGAAATC